ATCAGTGGATAATCTTAAAGGTTGAACAATAAAGAAAATAGGCATTGTAAGCTTATTTCAATTATGGAGGTAAATAACAGGAAAAGAAGCTTAAAAATTGAAAGTGGTTGCCACTGGAAGCAGGACAACAATTGGGAAGAATCAGAGTAAGATATTCCTATCTATCATTATAAAACTTACAGTATTATTTGATTTTTAATATGTACATTTTAACTTATGTAAATTGAAATTAAATATTTATAAGACACATAGCCACAGTGCCTGGTACAAATTAGGGACTCTATATATGGTAGCTATTATTACTACTAAAATTATTAATTCTCCTACTAGTTATTGAAGTCACTGATTACCCATTTCAAGTAAAACTGAAATATAAACAGATCTAGAAAGTTATTTGATTTATCAAAGGTTATGTAATTACTTAGTGATAAAACTAGAACTGGAGTTTCCTAACTCCAGGTTCTTTCACTCATAACATGGAGGATTTAGACAGCACCTTTGAGGTTATCTGTGGCTGGAAAGTATGGTTGCAAGCAGAGCTGTCCTTTCATAGCCTAACCTTTAGCTGGCCTGATAAATAGTGTATGTGTGATAGATAGACTTATGGATAGAAAAACAGAAAAATTAATAATTTTAAGCTAGGTAACAACCTCACCTAAGATTCTGCCTCATCATGATCACAACTCCTGCCTTTTACTATTTACTATTTGTCCTCAAAAAGGAAAAATCCAGTATTTGGACAAAACCCAAAGGAAAGAGCTGCAATAGAAGTGTTGTTAAAACACTTTTAATATCTTAATACTTGTAGAATCGTCACCTTAATTCTTTTGTACATTTAAAGCCTTTTGGAACTTTAAAGAAATCTTGTGCTGAATTTATATGGGCCCTTGCAAAATACAGGCATAATAGACTTCATCTAGCTCAATTCATTTTATATTATAGATGGGAAAACAAAACGGTGGAGGAGAAAATGGATTGCCAACATTTAACAAATATTTATAAACTATCCATTTGGGATCAGTGGTCTTGGACCTAGAAGTATATTATTCAAAAGGAAGTTGAGAGGCAGAGATGTTAGGAAACTAGTTGAGGCAGAAGAAGAAACTTGATAACAGGTACAATTAAGATATTGTAAACCGAGTGTTTAAGTTCCATGGCTGGGTTAGCTGATAAACACTGTTGGGTGAAAATAATCATAGATATTATTTCTTTGAGAAAATTGTTTTGAAGACTATATTTTAAAGAGTGAAGCGCTGCATCCTATAAAGAATCGAGAATTTCTCATAATTTGAATATAGTACTATGTTAGAATATAGTACTATGTTATGTCAAATTATGCTCTCATAATTTGAATATAGTACTGTGTTATTCTGCAGAGATGTGTGTGTGGGTGTGTGTGTAAGAGATGTATTATAAGGAAATTATACACACAATTATAGAGGCTGAGACGTTCCAAGATTTTCACTTGATAAGCTGGAGACCCAAGCAAGCAAATATGTAGATATGCAGTTCCAGTCTGAAAATCAGCCTCAAGACACAAGAAGAGCTGATGTTTCTGTCTAAGACCAAAAGTTAGAAAAGACCAATGTCCCCAGTTATCCATGTAAGCAAAAGTTGTTCTCTCTTATTCAGCCTTTTTTGTTCTATTCTCATCTATTCAGGTCCTCAAGTGGACAGGATGAGGCCCTGCCCACAGTAGAGGGGAACAATCTGCTTTACTCAGTCTAATATTAACCTCATCCAGAAACACCCTCACAGACATACACAGAATAATGTATGACCAAATGTCTAGACACACCATGGCCCAGTCAAGTGGGCACATAAAATTAATCATCATACACATACAAAGGCAAGAGGAACCAAAATTATTGGAAATTAAATGTAGAATTATATGAGAGAAAACAAGAAATGTAATAAGAATGAAAGTATAGGGAAAATCTGTGAATCAGTTGGACTTTAAAGACCATATTGAAGTTAGATAATAGGGATTGTTACAGTTCTTGGAACAAGAATTTGGACATTATATATGAGGGGAGATCATTTTAGCATTTAAATCTAGAACTCATGACAATTTGGAGACATTGAAACTTAGAAGGGTAAAAATCCCGAAATAGCTGAATTAGGATAAATACTGTGAAAGTAGAGAGCACATTCAAAACCCTAAGATTAAAACAAACACCAAAATCAACAGAAGTTAGTAAAAATATAATAAGAAGAAAAAAATGAATTTGAATGTTAGTGTCATTGATAGCAATGAGAAAATAAGAGATGTATTTGTACGGTCAAATATGTGACATTTGAGATGACATGTAATAGTGTACCTTTTCATGCTCGAAATCCAAAGTTTCATAAAATATAATGCAAAAGTGATGAATGTTAACATGTTAGAGGAAAATTTTTTACTATTAAACAGTTGTTACAAATATAATATTTAGTTTACTTTGAAGAACAGAAATAATATTAATCAGAAAAAATAGAAATGCTATAACTGAGTTGCCATTAACACTGAAGGTTTTAGGATGTTTATTATATTGGTTTCCTGGTTCTAGTATTAGTTTTCACATTAAATGCACCAGTCTTTAGCTCATCACCCCATGGAAGTGGACTGCTAAACTGCTAATCTGTTTTTTAAGTTTGTGTTGTTAAAGAGGAAATTCGTTACTTTTTCAGGTGAGCATAGACAAAAATTTTTAGGAAAAGTAAACCAACAGGTAACACAGTAAACCCTTAACACGGGCTTGAACTGCACAGGTACACTTACATATAAGAAGGTATTTTTCAACCAAACAAGGATCAAAACTACAGTATATGCAGGATGTGAAATGACTGTACATACTTGAGTATGAATTACTTTAATTAGCTAATGAAATTGCTCTTCTCCTTTGGCAAAGATAAGGAAGTAAGAATTTGAGAGAGGTAATTTTGGAGCTTGGGATACATTAGGGATAGGCAGGCCTTGGTGATAACATAGTGATACTTTCAGTCCCAGAGACATACCAACTGTGCAGAGACCAAGGTGTGCTAGAGAGTGCTAACAATGCTAGTACTAGGAATGATACTATATTAGTATCTATATTAGACTATATTAGAAAAGTAGCAAATCAAGTAGATGAAAACCTAAGATAAACTTTTCCTGCTAAATATGACAAACATAACCAGAACGTAAATTCCAGATCCTTATAATAATAATGTACTTGTTTTTTCAAAATGACAAACTTTTCTCTGTCTTTATTTTCCATTTCCATTTTTTCCTGCTTAATGTGTTTATAAACTGACATTTTGGAGAGTGTTACAAATACAGATTATGTATATGTGATGTGGATAAATGATTGATTAATTGGTAAACCTATTTAGGGATATGTGTTTCTCTTGATCCTTTCTTAACATGAGTAAAATTAATTATATCTGTATAGTGTTTTTCAGTTTTCAAATCATCATCATTCTTTATTTAAGAGAATAAAGTTACTTAACTGTGCCATCTCCTTGTTTTCTATATGTATCCAGACGAATAGATATGTAGAGCCCATGTTCTCCACACCATTTGCATGTATTTTAGATTGTGATAGAAATGTTTTTATGTGAAAAAGCATGTGTACATATATTTCCTGACACTCTTCAGATTTTTAGAAAAACATGTTCATGTCTGCTGAAAACTGTTAGTTTCTTTCTGGGTAGATACATCATCTTTTTAAAAACCTTCTCCCCTCACCCCCCAAGAATTCTTTTTAAATGGTTCACAGTTAAATTTAAATTTCTATATTTAGGTAGGATAATGTTTATATACCAACCACCAGTATCCAGGAAATTCAGTGGTAAAGCTGACACATAGGGAGTTTATAGTCTATTTTGTAGTTTGTGTATTTAGAAAAGGTTTGAAGCTTATTTAGCAAAATCACTTAAACATTCAAGCAGAATTTCTTTAGCACAAATGAACGACATGATTTCATATAATTGTTAAGATAACAGTGTGTCATTTTTTAAAGATTAGTTCTCAAGAACATGTGTTAGATTTATTCTTTTCAAAGAAGCATATATTCAGGAACAGCTTTTATATGTAAATATTTTTATAATATTTCATATTGGATAGAATTGGTTTGTGCAATCAGCATGGTTTGATCAAATTTGGAAGAAGTTATAGGCACATTTTGTAGTGTTTTCTCCAGCATCTTTATTTTTTTCAGATGGATGTATTTTATGTTCTTTCCAACTAATCAAAATAAGAAACTGAGTTTGCCTGTGCCAAAAAAATAGAACTATCATTTTTCACATTCTTTGATTTTCCAGGTCATTTTCAAGTAAGATTGTATTTCTCAGACTTCTGAAATTCTCAACTTTGTAGATATAAGGGCCCAGATGAACATTTCAGGGGGAATCTAACTTTTCATGCAGTATGTTTTGTGTTGTGCATTCCAGACACAGTCAACTTTTTGTGTGCATGTGATTATTAATAGTACGGAAAGAAATTAATGCAGTCTAGCATTATGATTTATGGACTGAATCCTTCACCCACTGAAGACTTGCCAAAATGAAAAGTATTTTTTTTCCTTTGGATATTAAAAACAGCTACTGTTTTTGTTGATCTTTTAAAGTTCTGAATGGGCCTATTTCAAATCATAACAGCATGGGAGCTCAGATTAATAATATATTTATTCAACTGGTGATACTGAGTGAAACCATTGCTCATATGAGTATGAAGGGTAAAATTTCATAAAATTATTTTCAGGTGCATTAGTGCATTTCTGGAAGCTGTGCATGATTTTTCTTTTGCAAGAAATCAAGGATTTCTGTTTATTGTATCAGTTACGGGTGGGCTCTTAAGTTAATTTAATTGCATTTTTATATCTTAAAACATAAGATATTTTGCTTTTAAAAGTAGTAATGTGATTGCTGGATTATTCCCAAAGGTTTTTAACTCTTAGTATATTTATCACTCTGGAGACATCATTACTCTACTAAATTTATATTATTGAGAAAAATTCTTATATTTCCTTCATTGTTAGTTACAGCAAGCTGCTGAAATTTCTCAGCTTCGGGGAGCAAGGGTAATCTCTGCTGAAGATCTTCTCTTTTTGATGCGCAAAGATAAGGTAATATAGAACAATTTCATTGTATTACAATGCCAGGCCATGTGCTTAATTGAACTTATATGTGGAAACCATATATCCTTGTTACATTGCTTTCAAACTGGAAACTATTGAAATAATGTTTTAGTCTCCATAGTTTACACAACAAATGGGTTTACTACAAGAGAATCGGTATTTATTTTTGCATGGGCAAAGGCACTTATGTAAAACTGTGCTAACATGTAATCCTCACTTGTCCTTAAATGTCTATTTAGATGTTTTCATTGCTATAAGTATTCACTAAATATTGACTCTGTGCTTTGTTGTCATAAATGAGATATAAAACTGAATAGCCTATTTATTTTTCTTCTCATTTTATAGATTAATATTATCAGGATTATAGACTTTCATAGAGTAATCTTTTAAACCTGAAATACAAAGTTTACTCTGTGACACTAGCTTATGGAAAAAAGCAAACCAATCAAGATGTATTTTCTAATAGCATAAATATATACCATTTCTATTTTTTATGAAGATCTTTCTTTCTTACTCTTTGAACTCTGGTATTAAAATATTTAAGCTGATAGTTAGTTGTGTGTCCAATTTTGTCATAATTATTTTCCATGAGTAGCTAGTTGAAAATATTCTGTAACATTTTATATGAAGAATATAAAAAGGAAGAGAAATGAAATGTCTTTACTATCAATAAGCTTATGGTCTGATTTAGGAAATCTGTATGATTTATTTGAAGAAGTGTTTTAAGACACTCAGAATTTCAGAGGTGTGTGATCAGATGGAGAAGCTGTAGAGTTTGCTCAAATGGAGGTTTCTGCCTAGGGTGAGGCACACACAATCATAATGTAGAAGGGAACAAATGCAAAGAAAATAACCAGGATTCTGGTTCAGTAATTAGGGCAAATTATGGTTAGTATGGTAGCTCTGGAAATGAATAGGATGAAAGAATTCAGAGAGATAATGAAGAGTAAGAATTTATAGAATTTGGTGACTTCAGCATGCTTGGAGGACTAAGGAGAACTAGGCATCAAGTACTATACAGCAGTGCTGCTGTGAGGAAGGAGCTTTGAAATGCTCTTGGCAGTAGTGAGGACCTTGTACAAAGATGCGTTTTGAAGCCAGCTGGGGAACTACAGGGTTAACCTTAGTACTTTACAGACTATCTTGTCAATTTCTTTTCACTGACAGAAGTAAAGAGGTTAGCACATAAAATGGCTCACACTGACACTTTTGCCTGCCCTTTGGGGAAATCAAAATTTTAAATCATATTAAAACTTCAGGAACATATACCATTTAACAGTATTCTTCTACTGTCCAGACAGACTCTTAACCAGAATCTTTTTACCAACCAAGAACATAGCTGTGATATGATAGTTTCCAATTTTCTCATCTTTCTCTTCAAAATGATAATTTCATTTATATGATGGCATGTTCCAAAAAATTTAAAGTAGCTTACATAGGTAAGTTATGAGGCAAAATGAAATTAAAGTACAGAATGAAATCAGAGCAGAGAGGAAAGGATGGTAGCAAAAAATCTATATAGAGATGTATTTTTTTCTCTTAATAATTCCAGTTTATAATCAAGCAGTTGACTGCTGATTACATTTTATGTATTGCACTAAGCTGCTCCACTCAATCTTTTTTTAATTCCACACAACAGGCAGGCAAGGTAGATATTACTTTTCTTTGCAAATGAAAAAACTGAAGTTCAAACGTTATATTCTACTTCTGGCCCTGCTAAACCTTAGTGGTAAGACTATTTTTTACCTCAGTTTCCCTACATGTAAAAAGGAGGTGATTATATTTATAGTCTCAGGGCTATTGAAAACATCAAATGATACGCATGTAAAGAGCTTTGTAAAATGCAATGCTTCAGCTATTATTAGAAATCTCTTTTTTTTTTTTTTTTTTTTTTTTTTTGAGACAGAGTCTCGCTTTGTTGCGCAGGCTAGAGTGAGTGCCATGGCGTCAGCCTAGCTCACAGCAACCTCAAACTCCTGGGCTCAAGCAATCCTACTGCCTCAGCCTCCTGAGTAGCTGGGACTATAGGCATGCGCCACTATGCCCGGTTAATTTTTTCTATATATATTAGTTGGCCAATTAATTTCTTTCTATTTAGTCTTGCTCTTGCTCAGGCTGGTTTCGAACTCCTGACCTTGAGCAATCCGCCCATCTCGTCCTCTGAGAGTGCCAGGATTACAGGTGTGAACCACCACGCCCGGCCCTATTATTAGAAATCTTAAACCTGGAACCAGTGATAATGCATTCTAAGTATATGCACATAACAAGCAAAAAAGTATTATCAGTCACATTTAAAGTTAAGCAGTTTTGTGGTCTAATAAATTTAAAGACCATCACTGAGACCTAACTATCATTCATCAGCTTTGAATTTCTTAAAAATATGTTTCTCAGATTATAGATGTTTTCCATAAATGTAACACATAAACCAACTCTTCTAATAAAAAGAAAAGATTGTCAGAGAATAAAAAGGATATTGCTTGGCTTTTTAAAGCAGTTGTTACAAACTCTTGGTATGGGAAGTGTGATATTTATCACAATCTCAAAAAAAAATTTTAAACTTTTTATAAGACAAAACAGCAATTACAGTTACGTACTGCATAACAACACTTAGGTCCAGATTACAACAGAGCTGAAAAATTTCCATCGCCTAGTGATGTCCTAGCCATTATAATGATGTAGTACAATCGTTACTCACATATTTGTGTTGATGCTGGTATAAACAAATACTGTGCTTCCACTCATATAAAAGTCTAATACATATAATTATGTACAGTTCATGATACTCGATAAAAATAATAAATGATTATATTACTGATGTATGTATCTGTACCATATTTTTATTGTTATTTGAGAGTGTACTCTTTCTAATTATTAACAACAACAAAAAAATAAGTTAACGGTAAAATAGCCTCAGGCAGATCCTTCAGGAGATATTCTAAAAAAGGCATTGTTATCATAGGAGGTGACACTTCCATGTATATTATTGCCCCTGAAGACCTTCCAGTGAGACAAGATATAAAAGTCAAAGGCAGAAATATTGATGGTCCTGACCCTGTGTAGGCCTAGGCTAATGTGTGTGTTTGTGTCGTAGTTTTTAACAAAAAAGTTTTAAAAACATTTAAAAATAAAAAATGTTTATAAAATAAGGAGATAAAGAAAGAAAATATTTTTGTGTAGCTGTACAAGTTGTTTGTGTTTTAAGCTAAGTATTATTGCAAAAAAGTTGAAAAGATTTTTAAAAACTTAAAAGTTTATTAAAAATTATAGTAAACTAAGGTAAATTTATTCTTAAAGAAATAGTTTTTTTATAAATTTAATGTAGCCTTAGTGTACAATGTTTATAAAGTATATAGTAGTATACAGTAATGTCCTAGGCATTCACATTCACTCACCACTCACTAACTACCCCAGAGCAACTCTGAGTCCTGCAAGTTGCATTCATGGTAAGTGCCCTAGGTATACCATTTTTTATCTTTTTATACTGCATTTTGCTGTACCTTTTCTATATTTCGATATGTTTTGATGCACAAATATTGTTGTGTTACAGTTGCCTACAGTATTCAGGTCAGTATCATGCTGTACAGGTTTATAGCCTAGGAGCAGTATGCTATACCATATAGCCTAGGCATGTGTGTAGTAGGCTGTACCTTCTAGGTTTGTGTAAGTATACTCTATGATGTTTGCACAATGACAAATTGCCTAATGATGCATTGCTCAGAATATATCCCCATCATTAAACGATGCATGACTGTATTGACTGTATTGTGATTCTGGAGCATCTGGATACTTGAAAATGAAAAAGCACTTTAAAAAATACTCGTGTTTTAGCTCTTGTATTTAATATGATGACTGCATTTTTATTTCATACTTTTATGCTAAGGATTACTACATTTTACCCAGTGATCCTGGGGTACAAGTTTATTAAAGTTAATTATCAAAGTAGTCTTTTATAAGTAAAATGAATATGTGTATATATTTTCTTATTTACTTATTTTGTATTTTTAATAGAAAAAACTTAGAAGATTGCTAAAATACATGTTTATCCGAGACTACAAATCAAAGATTGTCAAAGGCATAGATGAGGATGATCTTCTAGAAGGTAACCAAAACAAAACACTAAACTAAAAACAATAGCTTAGGATACATATGATGGGTGACACATCTATGCAGTGTCAATGTAGATATGCCCATTGGAATAGAATATATGTACTTTTGAAAAACAATATGGTTTGGAAATTATCCAAATACATATTAATATTTATTTGGTAATTTAATCTTGTGATTTTATATGTATGTAACTTGATAGGAATCTGGTATTTCAGTTCTTTATTTTAATGATGTTTATTGACTTATATCAGACTATCATGAGAGTAAGGAAATTGTTTTGATTCATAATATAATCGGTTTTAGCAAGCATAATTTTTCTGTAGTGGATTTAGGGAGCGAGAACTATTATAAGCCTTTGAAGTTGACACATGAGTTTTTGTTAACTTACAAAAGGTATCTGATATGTATATGTTTTTTATGATGTTAAGTCACCTCATTCTGGCGTTTTGTTTCTGCACTGTTTAATGAAAAGCATAACACAGAATTGAAAATTTTTCTCACCTGATCTATCAACTCAATTCTCCATTTTAGAATATTTAGAAAATATTAATATAGCAAAATCAAACAACTAAGCTAAAAATAAGTACTAAATAATACTTATTGAATCGAAATAAATATGTTGTGTTTTTAAAAATAACTCATGTTTTGTATTGATCATAGTCATTGTGTAGTGGCATCCATTGCTAATCAATACATTGATAAATTAAGAAACTAAATAAACTCTATTTGATTAAGGAAAATTCCAGAAAACTAGAATCAATAAACTTTGAAAGAGAACTAGTTACTTTCATTTACTATTAATAAATCAAGTGAAATAATCTTGCCAAAAGAAAATGTATATTTCTGATTTAATGTATTATATAATATTACATATTTGTTATTTCTGCAGTTCTCCTAGAATTTATTTTCTGGAAAACAGTTTTTTTTGTGTTTTTTTTTTTTTTCAAAATAATTTTTTTATTTTTTGAGACACCAGTCTCAGGGCATCAACCTGGCTTATGGCAGGAATGCTCTTCTTAGCTCTTTCCCTTGTTTCCTCTGTTTAACTTCTGGCTAGCTGACCCACTGCTTTGCTTACTTCTAATAGGGAGCCTCCCCTTAATTGTTCCCCACTAGGATCTCCATTGTTATTTTATTTTACAGTGCCCTTAGGTATGAACTTCCACATGCTCTAAGTAGTCAGTCTTTTTAGGAAAGCTACAGAGCTCTCTATTCTTAAGGCCTGCCTCTCTGAGCTGAATTGTGTATTGGAGCTGGCTATTGGAGCAGCAGTCAACTTCTCCTAGAAAGACTCCCCTGGATCCAAGTGTGGGGAGCTGGGAAGGGACAGTAGTCCCTAGTCTTCTAGGTTTGTCCATTCTTGTGTGGAGCTTCCCTCCCTATGAGTGAGCTAAGGTGGTGAAAATCAGGGCCAGTATTCTCAGCCTGTCATGTCTGAGGTAGAGCTTTCACCCTGTGAGTAGAGGTAGAGAATTAATAAAAGAAGGGAGCCACAAACATCTCACCTGTGCCTGCCTAGAAAAGAGCTTCTGCAAAATGGAGCTAGAGAAGATGAGACAGACCAACTTCTTGTCCCTCTTAGGGTAAAATTGTTGCCCAGAACTGAGAGCTGGAGGAGCAGGAGCCCAGTGTTCTCAGCTAGACTCACAGAATGGAGCTTCTGTCATACTGGGCTAAGGTGGCAGAGTAGGAGGGGTGGAGAGGGATCATGGGAGCAGGTCATGGTTTGAATGCAATAGACTCACTGTTCTTAACAAAATTTAATAGATATTCTTAAATACATGTTTTTCCACTTGCTGTATGTGCTTAGGACAATTTCTAGAAACTTTAAATGATTATTTTTTTTAAAACTTTCACTAGTTCAATGTGTTTTACTGGGAAAAGAGTCTGCCATGTTCCTCATACAGTCATTCCAGAAGTACCACCTCAGGATTAGGTGTTCTTTACCTAAGTATTTTACCTTATAATTTATATCAACTTGTTTTTGAAAGTTTTAGTGTGCTTTTTATAAGACACACAGAAGTAGAACATATAAATGAAGTAAATAGGAAAAATCTGAAAAAAATGGGAGAGCATCAAACTAATATTATGGTGTTAGCACAACTGATTATTCGTCTTACCACTAACGGCTATCAATTGTTCAGTGGCAGACATGTATCAAGTTCTTTTCATATATTGTATTGAATTCTCATAAGAACTCCACATATTAAGTAGTATTTCTCTCATAAATGAGAAAACTGACTCTCAGAGTCACATAGAGAAAGCAGAGAACTGGGTTGACTGGAATCCAGGTCTATTTTGTTGTAAATCTATATTCTTTATGCTCCATAAAAAGAGACATTTAAATTAATCTGCAAAACTATTTTCCAAGGCTGGGAGCAGTAGCTCACCCCTGTAATCCTAGCACTATGGGAGGCCAAGGCAGGAGGATCGCTTGAGGTCAAAAGTTCGAGGCCAGTCTGAGCAAGAGCAAGACCCTGTCGCTACTAAAAATAGAAAAACTTAGCCAGGCCTGGTGGCACGCACCTGTACTCCCAGCTACTGGTGAGGCTGAGGCAGGAGGATTTCTTGAGGCCATGAGTTTGAGACCAGCCTGAGCTATATAGTGAGACCCTATCTCTACCAAAAAAAAAGAAAGAAAGAAAGAAAGGAAGGAAGGGAGGAAGAGAGGGAAAGAGAAAGAAAAAAAAGAAAAGAAAAGAAAAATCAGCCAGGTGTGGTGGCATGCACTTGTAGTCCCAGCTTCTTATGAAGCCAAGGTAAGAAGAGGCTAGGAGTCTGAGGTTGCAGTGAGCTATGATGACAGCACTGCACTGTAGTCAGGGCAACAGAATGAGAGCCTGTCTCAAAAAACAAAACAAAAAACAAACACCCGAAAAAACAAAACATAAAAGCAGTGAGTACAAACAGCTAGCAATTAGTGGAGGCTAGTGGCTGTTTGTGATACCAAAAGAGTCAGAGGAGCTAGAAACTTAAATGAAGAAATCTGGGAAAGTAACAAAGACAGCCTGACTAAAAACCACAGTCATCCCTGGTTAGGGAGGAAGCTGCTTGCATATATGTAAGGCTGCACACTGTAAGGGAAAAAACTTTATTGTACTAGTCCTGCCAAGTCACTAACCAAATAAGTCCCAGAAAGGAGAGGGAATTAGCTGGAGTGGCTACAATTTATTATCTAAAATATCAATTTTCAAGAACAATAACAAAATACTAGATACACCAAGTAACACGTAAGTGTGATCCATAAAAAGGAAAAAAAAAGTAGACAATAAAAACTGTCTTTAGGGGGCCCAGATGTTGGACTTAGCAGATAAAAACTTCAAAGCAGCTATTATAAATATATTCAGATAACTACAGAAAACCATGTTTAAAAATTAAAAGGAAGGTATAACAGTATCTCACAAAATAAACAATATCAATAAATAGAAAATTTATAAAAAAGAAACAAACAGAAATTATGGAATTCAAATATACAAAGACTGAAATTTAAAAATTCAGAAGGAGGAGCTCAACAGTAGTTTGAACTGGCAGAAGAAAGAATCAGTGAACTTGAAGATATCATTAAAGATTATGCAATCTAAAGAACAAAGTGAAAAATAAATGAAGAAAAATTAACATAGCTTCAGAGAAATATGGAGCACCATTGAGTGTGTCAACATACATATGAGAGGATCAAAAGAAAGAAAAAGGGAGCAGAAAAAATATTCAAAGAAATAATTACTTGAAACTTACCAAATTTGATGAAAATTATTAGTCTACATATGCCAGCATCTCAGTCAGGATCTAAATCCTCCAGTTAGGTTAAACACAAAGAAATCTACACTAAGTCACACTGTGGTAAAATTATTGAAAGACAAAGGAAAACCATGAAAGCCACGAGATTAAAACACCTCATCACATACAAGGGAGCCCCAAGAATATTAACAACTGACTTCTCATCAACAATAAAGGTCAGAAGGCAGTGGGATGACATATTCAAAGTGCTGAAAGAAAAAAAACTGTTCACCAAGAATCTTGTGTCCAGCAAAACTATCTTTAAAAATGAAGGTAAAATAAAGATATTCCCAGATAAGCAAAAATGGGGAAAATTCCTTGCTATCAGACCTATATAAGAAATAGTAGAGGAAGTTTTTCAGGCAAAAAGCAAGTTTTACTAGACAATAATTTGAATGCACACACCTATATATATAATTAGTTACATAAATATGAAAGACAGTATAAATGAATATTTCTTTGTCTTTCTTTTAACTGATTTAAAAACAACTGTATAAAACAGTACATATATATAAAAGTGTAATGTTGGGTCTGTATCATTTAGAATTGTAATGCATTTAACAGTAACAACACAAATTAGGTGAGTGGTAATAAGGCTGTATTGGAGTTACAAAGTGATACATGATGATAACTCAAATTATAGAAAGAAATGAAATTAACCAGAAATGGTAAATTATATGATTAATATAACAAACTCTATAATTACATGCTTGTTCTATTATAAAGACACAGAATACCGAAACTGAATCAAGAAGAAATAGAAAATCTGAATAAAGCAATAGCAAGTAAAAAGTTTAAATTCATAGGTTTAAGAAATTCCCACAAAGAAAAACCTAGTCACAGGTTAACTTCACTGTTGAATTCTGCCAAATTTTTAAAGAAGAAAATACCACTTCTTTTCCAACTTATTCTATAAGGACAGTATTAACCTGATAGGAAAACCAGGTAAAGATACCACTAGAAAACTACAGACTATTATCTTTTTTAATATAGTAAAAAAGATACTAGTAAAACAAATCCAGCAATATGTAAAAAGAATTATAAACTGTGACCAAATGGAATTTATCCTAGGAATGGATGGTTAGTTTAAACTTACAAAACTATTTATGTAATGCATCAAATTAACAGAATAAAGTACAAAAACTACACGATCATCTCAATAAATGTAGGAAAAAATATAAGAAATACCCCAAAGTATTTCTTGAGAGAAACATTCAG